AAAAAAAAAAAAAAAAAAAAAAAAAATTGGGGAATAATTCTTAATGGACTCGTTCATTTAAAAGAACAAAATCATTTAAGAACATCGGGTAATTATTCTTCATCATAACAGTGACAAACGACACATTTAATAACAAAGAATAATGTGTGCCTTCTGCCGGGAGATTTGAAGCAACAATTTTGATATTTCATGTTTAATAAATCATTGAAATATTTAAACTGTGTACATTTAAGCAATTCGCTTACCCGACAGCCCAATCAAACGTAATTAATACCGCTAAAGTACGTTCATGATAAAAGTCGCTATAGATTCTTCGATGGACTGGTGTGTTTTCTTTGTATTCTAAAAACTAATGTTTTGCTACAGTTTTCAAGTTAGTTCATGCATGTATGGAGGGAAGGGGCATCATGGTCAGCACTGTCGCCTCACACCTCCGGGACCAGGGTTTGAGTCTCCACCATGAATCCATGTGTGTGAAGTTTGCATGTTCACTCCGTGTCATTGTGGGGCTTTCTCCAGGTACAGTGGTATCTTGGTTTGCGAGCATAATTCATTCCGGTGTTACGCCAAAAAAGGCATCCCTGCCTTAGAATGCATGCCGGTGTTCCGACGAGTTGAGCTTTTAAGGGTTTTTTGGGGGTTAGGGTTAGAGTTTTACGGGTTTTTGGGGCTATTGATTAGCACTATGGTAGCCTTATTCGACAAAGTAGCTCAACTCGTTTCAGATCAGCGACCAATCGGTCATTTAGAGACAGGCATGCATTCTACGGCAGGGATGCCTTTTCCGGCATAACACCGGAAACATGCTTGTAATCCGAAGCGCTCGTATATGAAAGCGAATTTTCGCATTAGAAATAATGGAAATTGATGATTCGTTCCACAACCCAAAAATATTCATATAAAAATGATTAATATAAAAATATTATAAAGCAAAAATACATAAAACAAATTAATCTGCACTTTACCTTTGAAAAGAATCGTGGATGGTGTGAGGGAGACGAGAGAGAGGAGAAGAGGAGGGTTATTTTGTAGGACGACTTTCACTGTAACTAACAGAGTCACTGCTATCTGTTGGTTCACTGGAATCTTTTTCTTTTTGTGCGACTTTAACAAGGAACCTATCCAATGACAGCCGCTTCTGCCTCCTTTTCGATTTTGCGGAAATGTGGACATTGCATTGTCATCAAACAGATTCATCGCTCGGACTGCTACACCCTTATTCGTGTGGTGCTTTTATACTAAATTTTGACTATCTGAGTGAGGGACGCCGACTGAGACCGAACACGGTAGCCGATTACCCACAATCCCGCAGCGAGAGAGAGAGAAGAACCATTGGCTCAGTTGTGATCACGTGACGCTAGGTAGACAAAGCATATATGTAATACTCGTATTGCAAGACCTCGCTCGTTTATCAAGTTAGAATTTATTAAAAAAAATTGCTCGTCTTGCAAAACACTCGCAGACCAAGTTACTCGCAATCCAAGGTTTTACTGTACTCTGGTTTCCCCCCTGCAATCCAAAGACATGCTGAGGTTAATTGGAGTTACTAAATCGCCCGTAGGCATGAATGGTGTGTGAGTGACTGGAGTGTGAGTGAGCCCTGTGATGGGTTGGCATCCTGTCCTGGGTTATTCCCTGCCTTGTGCCCATGACAAGCAGTTACAGAAAATGGATGGATTTACGGAGGGAATGTTTTTGTGCTGAGAGGTCAGTTGGTTTGCCAGCGCCCGATGAAATCGCTTCATAATCACCACATGGATTATTTATGGCTGCGATTATGGCGCTCTGATTGATTAAATGTGTGCAGCAGGCCAGAGGGGCAAGCTGCCCCAGCGCGTAGCAGCGTCCAGTCTCCCACCCCAGGATGGCATTCCGCAGAGCCCCCCAGCCGCTATTCTCCTTACCCCTCCCTCTGTCTCGGCTCTTGCAGACCCCACAAAGTGTTTATTCTCTGTTTCCGTAATTATTAACAGCCCATGCAGTTTTTGTGCTGATTTTCTGATTCCTTGCCATGGGGACCAATATGTTTCAAAGGGTCGTGAGTGTTTGAGCTTCAATTCAAGCCCATTATCTGTATTTTTCAGTGGGTGTGATGGAGGGGAAGCTGTTTTCCTGTTGTTGAGGCTACAGCAGCAAGGTGTCATGGGAGCTGTAGTTCATTCAGTGGCTTCAGTGTCCCTGAGGGGCAAACAGCTGATATTGTTCAATATAGACAAGCGATGGACAAAATGATGCTTCATGAACCATTTGCTGTATTTCTTGACCCCACTAGATGGCGCTCTTGGTTAGCTTTGGGGCATGCCTTTGTGCCCTTTTTTGAAGGGAGAGCATCATATAGTGTAGTCAGAAAATACAGCAAATGGTTCATGAAGCACCATTTTGTCCATCACTCATACAGAAGTAATTAAGCTTGAGGTGCTTGTATCAATACAGTGATAGCACGTGCATTTTAAATGGATTAGGGACAATATGGAAAACGTTGTGTGAGTGTAATCAATAAAAAAAAAGCCTGCTCAGTTTTCCGTATGTGTGTGTCTGTGAAGGGCTTGGCTTCAAAGGGTTGCTTCAGGTTAGACACATTTAATAAGAAAGACAGTTGTGGTCAGACTTTTTTAATCTTTAGAATAAAAGGAGTTCATGTTTTCATGAACGAGAGAGGTGTAGCTGTAGCTGTAACTGATGCATGCTTTTGAGCCCATAGGCGCCTGGTCTGCATGAGTCAAAGCCTCCCTTATCTTTCCTGTGCTTTTCCCAGAGTAACGAGATGCTGGAGCTCCAGAGGAACCGGATGAAGGACGAGATCCGCGAGTACAAGTTCCGGGAGGCACGGTCGCTGCAGGACTACAGCGAGCTGGAGGAGGAGAACATCATGCTACAGAAGCTGGTGTCCACGCTGAAGCAGAACCAGGTCAGAGCCCGGCCCACAGACAGGGAGACGGACCTGTCCAGAGGCCCACATACCCTCACTGCTATCCAGAGGTGGATAGTTCAGGTCCAGAAAGTAAAAATCCAGATCAAGATTTTATATCAAACAACCAGTTGAGTACTCTTTGTGCTCAACTGGTTGGTTGAAACAAAATCTTGGTCTAGATTTGTAATCTCTGGACCTGATCCACCCACCCCTGCTACTGTCCCCCTCCTGTACTCTCCCTTAGGTGGAGTTCGAGGGCCTGAAGCATGAGATGAAGGTCCTGGAGGAGGAGACAGAGCTTCTGCAGAGTCAGCTGGAGGAGGCCCTGCGGCTGAAGCAGATCTCAGAGACACAGCTGGAGGAGGCGTTAGATGCACTGAAGAGCGAGTGCGAGCAGAAGAACAGCCTGCGCAAGGAGCTGGCGCACTGCATGAGCCTCAGCGACAGCGTGTACGGAACCCACCTGGCCCTTGCCGACGGCCTTAAGTTTGCTGAAGAGGCAGCGACCAACGGTACAGCCGCCACCGGCTCGCCCAACAACCAGGACAGCAACAAGTGTAACGGGCACACGGCCAAGGTCAACGGCGACTACCGAGCAGCCGGCCGGAAGGGCGAGACCGCCAACCTCGTGTCGGACCTCTTCAGTGAGCTCAACCTCTCTGAGATGCAGAAGCTCAAGCAACAGCTACTGCAGGTGAGCTAGTAAGAGAGGTAAGGGTCAAGGGTCATAGGTGATGTATTTCTCAACTAGACAGAAGCCAGTTGTGCTGTAAAGTGACCTTTTCACTTCATCAGATCCTCGCTATTGAACATCCAGGATGTCCAGACAAAATAAATGTATTGATTTTTTTCATCTAGAATATCTTCCCAACATGCCTACCTAGATTCACCATTCCTGACTGGTTTATTTTCTTCACACTCTACAGATTACATGGGGCAGAATAGCTGGTGCTGATTGGTCTATTTACATCCTATAGGTCACACGGTGCATAGAAGCTGGTTCTGATTGGTCTGTTTGTGAACTATGTCAATATGCAGGCTAGTGCTGATTCGTCCACCTGCTTTCCTCTCCTTGTCCGCTTTCACAAGGTGTTCATTCGGTGTAATTTTTTTTCCCTGAAACCAGTTTAGCGCAGATCACACCCCACAGCCGACTTTAGCGCAAACCATGCCCAGCAACTGTGACAAAGCACAACATAGAGCTCTGAAGAAACCTCAAGATCAATTTCATTGGACAGTATGACAATGCTCATCCAAACTGTAGCGCAAATGTATCCCAACAAAGAAGGTCACCCCAGACAAGAATAACTGAATTTAATTAATAGCAAATATTAATTTGGCTCAGATATGGAAGAAAGAGCAACCATATGATTTAAGATGGAATTTGTTATGTGGTGGCGATTTATTTGCTTCACTACTAAATCCAATGATATTTGTTTGACATGCAAATTCAGATGATGCTACATAAGATACAATCTCAATTGTTAATTAAAAGTGATGAAATTTCCTTTCATTAATATAATAAAATGTTCAGGGTAAAAGTCAATTTCTGGAACAGTATGAGCAACACATTTTACCAACGAAAGAACAAAAGTACATTGATAAATCAATGTAATACATCAATTATGATAAAATGTATTTGGGATGTTTACCTTCTCATATTTTTTTTATTTAAAACATTATAGATATTTTAAAAACATATAACATTTTATAGACCAAGGAAGGTTCTACGGAGCATGGGAGTCTTCTACGGAGCAGGGGGGTGTTCTACGGAGCAGGGGAGTCTTCTACGGAGCAGGGGGGTGTTCTACGGAGCATGGGAGTGTTCTACGGAGCAGGGGGGTGTTCTATGGTGCAGGGGGTGTTCTATGGAGCAGGGGGGTGTTCTATGGTGCAGGGGGGTGTTCTATGAAGCCGGGGGTGTTCTACGGAGCAGAGGGGTGTTCTACGAAGCAGGGGAGGTTTTACGGGAGCAGGGGAGTGTTCTACGGAGCAGGGTGGTGTTCTATGGTGCAGGGGGTGTTCTACGGAGCAGGGGGGTGTTCTATGGTGCAGGGGGGTGTTCTATGAAGCCGGGGGTGTTCTACGGAGCAGAGGGGTGTTCTACGAAGCAGGGGGTGTTCTACGGGAGCAGGGGAGTGTTAAGAACGTTCATCTTTCATGGGACACCTTTCACAGTGGGCCATGTCAGAAAACATGTTGAGTATCTGGAGCATATTGACCCCCCACATCGATCAAGGTTACAAAAGAGCTGTGGGCTGTGCCAAAGCACAGTCAGGGGGGATGTCATCTTTGGGCACAATCGAGTACCCAACAGGTCATAGAACCCTTACTTCAGGCCGTTTCCCATGGCTCTGATGTCGTCTCTTCACAGCCGGGCCGTGTGCCTTTAAGACCTGCAGAAATGCCTTGTGTGTGACTGGATCATCTTAGAGGAAAATGCTCTTTCCTTTTAGCACTGAAAGCCAAGGGGTTGACCATGGCTGGTCGCTGCTCTTTACTCCTGTCCTCCGTTTGCTCATAGTTGTATAACAGCGGTCGTCAGCCAGTCGATCGGCAAAACATTTTTAGTTGACCATGACACAACTTCCAATCCCCCCATGCCCTGTTTGGCGAAACATACCAAGCCCCCCCCCCACTCTCCCCGGTTAAAAAATATGCCAATATAATGTCCTGGGGCAGCATGAAAATCTATGGGGATTCTCTGCTCACGCTCTCACCTCGTGGACTATAATAGATCAATGGGTAGTATACCTTGTTATTAAGTGCAGGGAACGGTGGCAATAGTTGGAATTGTAGATCGCTGTGTTCTAAATTTCCATATGATTGGATGGCTCGTTAGGAGCATTAGCATACAGGAAGTGATGCATTAACGATGTGTCTGCCCCAACGCAGGTGGAGCGGGAGAAAGCCCTGCTGCTGACGAACCTGCAGGAGTCGCAGACGCAGCTGGAGCATACGCAGGGAGCCCTGACGGAGGAGCATGAGCGCGTGCACCAGCTGACGGAGCATGTCGATGCCATGCGGCGTCTGCACTGTGACAAGGAGGTGACAGAGTGCGAGAAGGCAGCCAACGGCCACACGCACCTGGACGACACCCACGGCCTGGAGGTGCTGGAGTGCAAGTACAAGGTGGCCGTGACGGAAGTTATTGACCTGAAGGCGGAGCTCAAGAACCTCAAGGAGAAGTATAACCAGTGCGTGGAGGGCCAGGCGGAGGAGCGAGCTCGCGGAGAGGCCCGGCTGCAGGTGCTGGACGACCAGGTGAGCAGGCTGGAGCAGAGCTGCCGCGAGAGCCAGCAGCGCATCATCAGTCTGGAGGGCGAACTGCGGAGCATGACCATGGCAGCTGGCGAGAACCAGGCCCTTCTGAACGCTGCCCAGGACGAGCTGGTGACCTTCAGCGAGGAGCTGGCGCAGCTCTACCACCACGTCTGCCTGTGCAACAACGAGACGCCCAACCGCGTCATGCTCGACTACTACCGGCAGGGCCGGGCCGCCCGGGGGGGCAGCCTTAAGGGCCCCGAGGACCCGCGTGTCCTGCTCTCCCCCCGCCTTGCACGTCGCCTGGCCGCCGCCTCGCCTCCTGAACCCCGAGGCGATTCCCCATCCAAAGACCCCCCCACAAACAGCAGCAAGGACCTGCAATCGAGTCCTGCCCGTACCCCCATGGGCTCGCCGGTCATCAGCATCTCCCCCTCGCCATCGCCGACGCCCGCCACCCATGAACCCGGCGCCGACCCGCGTCGGGAGCCCATGAATGTTTGCAACCTGAATGCCATCGTGCGCGACCAGATCAAGCACCTGCAGCGTGCCGTCGACCGCTCACTGCAGCTGTCCCGGCAGCGGGCCGCTGCCCGCGAGCTCGCACCCGCATTCGACAAGGACAAGGAGGCCTGCATGGAGGAAATCCTCAAGCTGAAATCCCTGCTGAGCACCAAGCGCGAGCAAATTGCCACACTCAGGATCATCCTCAAGGCCAATAAGCAGGTGAGCCGGGGGGGGCGGAGCATCCACTTACCGCCTTCATCAGCTTCATCATCCTCATCCTCACAAATATTGCTTATTATCTTTTTTATTACAGTTATTTGCGGTAAATTTCAAATATCCAAATCAGATGCTGATGTTTAATGGATGAGAAGTTTTGCCAGGAATTCCCCCAGCAGCTCTGTGATTCCTCATTAACCCCGTAATTCGGAGCCTCGTCTCGTCCCCACAGACCGCAGAGGTGGCGCTGTCCAACCTGAAGAGCAAGTACGAGAACGAGAAGTCCATGGTGACAGAGACCATGACGAAGCTGCGGAACGAGCTGAAGGCCCTGAAAGAGGACGCGGCCACCTTCTCCTCGCTGAGAGCCATGTTCGCCACCAGGTGAGGGGAACGGACCCCAGCCCATAGCGGGTTGCTATATTTTTTGCTGTTTGGCTGCTTGCAATCACATAGGATATATAATCCCAGGGATTTGAGAAGAAAGACCAGCCCACCAGGGAGATTCCCGGACTTCCCAACAGGCCGTCCTCCGGATGCCCCACTTTGGGCTGAGGAGCGTGTGGACAGAGCAGCTGGTCACTCCCTACCTCTGTGATCCCCTCCCCCCAGGTGCGACGAGTACGTGACGCAGCTGGACGAGATGCAGCGGCAGCTGGCGGCCGCCGAGGACGAGAAGAAGACGCTGAACTCGCTGCTGCGCATGGCCATCCAGCAGAAGCTGGCGCTGACGCAGCGACTTGAGGACCTGGAGTTCGACCACGAGCAGTCGCACCGCGGCCGCGCCAGCAAGGCGGCCAAGCTCAAGGCCAGCCCCTCCAAAGTAAGTGGAAAGGCAGCCTCCACGGCGCCCCCTAGTCCCACTGCCGCCTCTGTGCTCGTCTCGCCTGTGGCTCAGGGTCCCCCAGCCCCACACGCCGTCAGCCTTTCTGCTATCAGCAGCCCACCCCCCCTGGACACGCCCCACTCGGCCTCGGGCTGGGCGGGGTCTCCCCAGTCGTTCCTCCTGAGCCACCCACAGTGGGCCCTGGGTGTCCAGGCTCTCACCACTGATACCCACAACTTCAGCCTAGACTTCCATCCGCACCCGATTGCCGTGAGCCCGAGCTCCGCCCCCGCCTCGCCCTATCGCTCGCCGGTCCTGGGCGTCAGGTCCTCGGTACCCAGCGCTGGCAGAACTCGTACCCTTGCCGATAAAGCGCATGCCACCGCCCTGAGTGCCTCAGCCCCCACGCCCTGCCACCTCGACTCCCGCACCTACACTTCCCATCATCTCCATCACTGACTCTTGCCAGGAAGTGAGGCCGGGTGACACAGACAGGAAGACAGACTGGTTTCCTGTCATTTCCCACCAGTAGCCACCTTAAAGCCACCGGAATGGACATTCCTCAGGGTTTTGTATTGAGATGCCGCACATGATGGCCGCTTTCCCATGGATGCCGTTGGTTAGTCTCTGACAGGCTCTGTCTTAATAGCTATTGTGGGGGTTGGTTGTCTCTCCCCATCTTTTCTTGTCTTTCCACAAGAGGAGACATTAATTCACCTGCATGCACTGTCCCATCTTACTCACTTCTGTACCTGCAGAACTGAATATCACAGGACCAAAGTCCAAGTCAACCCGAGAGATTAAATAGATATTTTGGGAACCTGAATGTTTTTCCAAAGCTTGTGGGTTTTTCTTTTAGACATAAGTTATGATTTTATGTCCTTTTTTTTAGCGATATAAAACATCATAGCGTAGCATAGATAGATATTACTGATTATGATTTTGGACCAGGTTGTTTGACAACCCAGATAAAACATATCTGACGTTTCCATTTTTGACAGTAAAGATCACCTGAGTCTTAATAGTCAACTGTCTCTGCAATGCCTTTAAAACTGTCCTAGATTGATTTTGCAGAAAACTGTATGATTTTTTTAAATCCAACACGCATTAAATTGAAAACAATAATGTAAATACTGGGACTGTGGCCTTACAGCAGGAAATGATGCTTAAAAAAGATTTGTGCATCTTTGCTGCCACCCAGTGATAAACTTTGGAAATAACAAGTAAGGTTTATGCTAAGGTTTAGATGCCTTGCGACGTCTACCACTGCCTTACAAAGCAGAGCTCAAAATACGTCAGTATGTGTTATGTGCATGTAACTCAGGGACTTTAATGCACTGCCCTGAAGCTCATACACGCAAAGTGTGTGTGGAGGATACAAAACGTCATTTGGAGGAAGGAGGCAGGTAGTCATTGTTAGCATTGATAAAATAGATCGCAATTTGTAACAGACTTTGTAACAAAAGACCTTGTCAGCAGACCTGGGAATGCATGTTGTGTGAGGAAGCAGTTATTGGCAGTAGTTTCATAATAAGATTATTAGATTTAGTCACTTTATTTATTCATTCGTTCACTTTATTTGTTTGTTTATTTGATTGTTGACTGTGATATTTCATGCACACAAAGAGAATTCCAGAAGCAAATCTTCTAAGTGAAATTCCTGCTTAGGCTCACGGTTATCCTTCATGGAAAAACTGGGCTCTGTCATTATATATTTATCGGAGCAAAATGCATTTGACAGATATAATTTGGCCGCATGATGTTTTCACAAAACATCTCCTAGCCTGCAAAAAACAATAGGCACAATTCATGATCATTAAAAAAAACTTCAATCGGTCGGCATTGTGGTCATTAAGGTGGCAATATTTGGTCGGTTAGAGGAACTCGACCGTATTCGACTGCTATCCCCCGGTAGCCATGGCAACGCAAATGAAAGTAGGATCTAGCTGACTTTCTTGCATCCTCTGTATATCATGTACCTCAGTGTCTCCCCTGTCCAGCTCTGTTCTTATGTCTGTCAGTCTTGCCTGACTTTGTCCACCAGGGGGCAGAACACAGAGCATGGATACAGAAACCTGTTATAGCAATGAGGCGTCACACGGTGAGGAGACACAACTATAGCTGAGTTAGAAATCGTCGGGCTCCTGATAGGCTGCTTTGAATTATGGTGCATTCCTGCCTCCTGGAGTTTCCAGCCAACTTCAGCAAAATCGGCTCGTGATCCCGGCTTGGAGCCCTGACTGCAGCTGACTCAGAGCTCCCCAGTGCTCTACTTGTGACATCATTTGTTCTGGCATCTCTCCACTTTTCTACTACTTTTACGACGTATTTTCACCATTTGCAGATCCCTTCTGATAGGAGACACTGAGCGGCATCGCTACCCATAACGCCCTGATTTCAGTGACAGACGCAGTATCATCCCCCTATTTTCTATGCTAAACGATCCCACAGATGCATTTTTCCTGAATGACGAAGGAGACGGAAAGGATACTAGTAGAACTTCATGCAAGGGTGTGGTCGCTGAAAGAAGGGTATTCGAGAATCTCAGGGATTGTGTCTTGGTTAAAAATGCTAAATTTGTGAAACTAGAAACCAGTGTAACCTGTCTGTGTCGCCCAATATCTCAGTTTCGAAGACAGGAACATAGACACCCCCAACAAGCCAGCGCGCATATAGACCCATTCACATTCCTATGCATATGCAGGCTCCACCCGATCCTTTCAGCCAAGAAGACGCTACTGACGATAATCGGGTTTTCGCCACTAGGTGGCACTGTTTAGTCACTCCCCGTATTCCCTGCACTGTCATTTAAGAACGTGTCTGAAAATTCCGTCTAATCTGTCAAATGCAGTTTGGCCTACGTATGGGTATTTATTTGGTTTTATTGGAAACGTTCTGTTAACTATTACTTCTTACATTATATGGTTTGGTGTATATGACTTTATATGTATATGAAGTTATATAGTTTTTCAGTATGACTGAAGGGGTCCTGAAATATTTTAAGATTCTGTTCATTAGACTGTGCTGGGGCGTTAATACGTTTAAGGTATTTTAAGCAGGAATTGAATGGTAAACGATACACTCTTTTTACCGGTTTACCTTGCGTGTGGTCATGTTTCTCCAGTCAAAATTTATGTTGTGTTTTGTGTGAAACTGTTCAGACGTGTAGTGTGTATAAATGAGTATGTGTTTTGTTTTGTCTGTCCGTTGAATGCACTATAAAATCTGTCTGCCGTAATGGTGTGGGATGGGCTGAGAGGAACGATTGCTCAGTTGTGGTAGCATAGTACGTTTTTTTTTTGCTTATTTTCAGTCTTTCAGATTTAATCATTTTATTTTTTTGCTTCCTTCACTGAATATTTCTCCGTTAATGTTAATATGTAACTGCAGGTAACTGAAATGGTAATTGTTCATGGAACATTGGTGTAGACTTATGGCATCATTTGTTTCGTGTCTCCCTGTAAATGGAAGTTGGATGTGCTCCGCCGCCTCAGTTTTTCCCTCCGCCTCTCTGTCTGTCTCCCCCCGGCCTTTTTAATAACGGACATTCAGGTTTTGTGCGATACGCACCGTGGTGTTTTGTTTAATATTTGAAAAGCAAAAATAAATGTACATTTTGCTCCATGTCAAAGAGACCGCTTATCCACAATAAAAAAATAATTTACCAGCTCTGCTGATTGGTTTGATTAGTCGTCTTGGATGGTTTTGTGTATGAGATTACCATATATTTCACCAGTGTAACAGACTTTTTAAAATGTGATACTATTTTTGTGTTGGAAACGAACGGCATACTCTTCATCAGTGGGGTGAGAAAACTGTCAAGGATCCTGCCCAAAAAAAAAATACCAAGGACCTCAGCCCTGTGAAGACTACAACAGGACATAGATGAAGAATGTCATAGGCATGGTTGCAGCTCTAGACCAGCAGGACTTCACAGCAACAACTGGGAAGATGCAGTGTCCCCTCCATCAGGAGCAGGACATTTTCACTGGTCACGGTCACACGGTTTGTTGCTGTTTGTGGTCTTTGCTGGAAATCTGATCCCAGTGTCAGACCACTTTGCGGTCCTGTGGCTGGCCCACAGGTGGAGTTCACCTGTCACCTGCGTGTGTGACTACCTCCCCCCTCCTGTCACTGTTGGTTTAAAGGGGACACCAGGATACTTATTTCAGCTATTCTGGTCTTCTGCAGCAATTCAACACTTATTATATAACTGCATTACTCATTACATGATTAATTACATTGTGCTTTTCAGTTAATAATTAATCAATTAAAGTAAATACACATTAGCCATTCCGCTTGACGGACCAGTTCTTGTTCAATGGCCCTGCTGACCTCAGCGTCTTTGGCAACCCATTAACCTGGACTTCCACTGTTCTGTACATATCGCCAGCCCAGGAACAGATCGAGTACCGTGCATCTTAATCATGCTGTTATTAAGTCGAAATATCCAAAGTCAGGCTTCCCCAATTCCGGTCCTGGGGGGCCAGAATCCAACACAGTTTGCAGATTTCCCTGAACAAACACACCTACCAAACCTGGTAATTAGCTGACATAGATTTGTTTCTGAAATCTGCAAACTGTGTTGGATTCCTGCCCTCAGTACTGGGGAACTATGGTCTACTGTCACAGTCTCTCTCTGCAGCCTTTTACCACACAGCTAGGGGGGGCACCGTCCATTTAGCATGCAGGTAACGTCCTGGCCATCTAGGGAATCCCTCCTGTTGTCACGGTGACAGCTGTCTGCTTCAGGCCATTGATGTGTATTTGTAGTTTTGAGGGTTTCTGTCCTGACTTGCTGGCCATAGATTCCCACATTCATGGTTTTGCTACTTTTTGTCCTGTAGGAGGCACTGTGCGGGTCCACAGACACTCTGTATTACCACGCCATTGTGTTTTCATTTATTACACTGCATTTATTTATGTAGCAGACACTCCCAATGCAACATATGTCAGGCAGATAATATTAAATATACTGTAGTATTAAAAGCAAGGACAGAACTGCAGCATAAAGCACTTCGCATAAAACTACTCTTAAATATAAGTGTCATACTTCTTACATACATTGTGCCAAATCCTTTCATCCCACATGTTTATAAAGGCGAAATACTTTCCCAGCAGGAAAAATATCAAAATCCATTATGATATGTCTCCAAGCTGTTTTTTCTCATGCCAAACAATCTGCTCTTTTGGTTAAACACCTAAAATGGACTGTTCTCCAAGGTTTTAAACGGCTGGGCTGCACTGTCCCTCTGCCCTGTGTGTGTATGTGAGTTTTATTCTCCTCAGATTTCTCTGCATCTCCTTCTTCCAGCACCATTTACGATGGATCGTTGTGCCTCTTTTTCCCTGACGCATTTCATTACCTTTTTTTTCTGTGTGTGAACTAAGTACGACACCAGAGGACATATCTCTTCTTCCTTCTTCCCCTCTCCCCCTTCTTTTCTTTGTGTTCTTCCCCGCCCCCTCCTCTCGGGCCCCCACCCCCCGTCAGTCATAGCGCTGCGATGGCCGTCCATGTGGTCCCGGCCTCCAGTTCCTGGCAAAGCAACAGCAGAGGCGACAACGACAGCAGCCTTCCTTCCGGTTGGGCTTCTCACCTGTCACTCACAAATGTCTCCGCCTCCTGGCCTATAATCTGGGTTCATGGGTGACCCCGCCCTCCCCAGTAACTGTCAGCAGGCCCGTCCCACTGGCAGTGCTGCCCCATACTGGCAAGACAAAGACCATTCAGTGCGCAGGATATAGAGACAGCTCTCTGACTGAGACTCGCCATGAATTGTAACCCATGTCTTCCTTCTGCAGTTACTTTTTGTAACAGTTGCATTTTTTCTGAAACAAACGAACGTGTCCGTAGCTGGTGGCCACGCCTTGGGCTGCTCTTACGATTCCAAGGCCGTGGAGGTCAGCCTGCTACTTCAGATAAACAGACAGTCACTGCAGTTCAGGCAGCATGAAAATCTTTATTAAAATACTTTAACAGTAAAAATCCAGGGCATGGATGGTCTATTCCAGAATATTCTGAAAAGAAAGTAAAAATCATTACTGTGTGACCATCCAAAAGCTGAGAGACGCAATTTGCTTTTTACTGAGAGGTTGTGGACTGCTGAGACTCTCTGAAGGGATCCAAAACACTGCATGGCTTTTCCACAAACAAAATGTTACACATGTGATTTTCACATAGTCAGGTGAATTATAACTTTTTTCATTGGTAACTAAGTTTGGAGGAACTTGGCTGTATGGTTGTTTTGAGTTTTGTAATTAAATTTATTCATTTAAATTAATTAAACTAATGTTTACATTACAGCTTCACTCACTCAGGGTGCTTTGTTTTGTATACAAATTTTGCAAATGCTATGTAATAAATCTTGTATTAGTATATTATTTTATACCTACAATGTGATTCAACTCGTCCTATAAGGTCATTTGTTTTGGGTTTTGCTCTTGGTTGGTTGATTTTAACACAGAACATAGGTGTGGTTATGGAGAGAGGATCAGCGTGTGAGCAGAGAGGCTACAACGGGATCTGGATTTAATTAGTGACTGGGCTGATACCTGGCAGATGAAATTTAACACAGATAAATGTAAGGTAATCCATGCAGGGAGCAGAAATATAAAGCACAGATATTTTATGGGTTCCACTGAAATAAAGGTAGCTGATTATGTCCATGTCCCACTCTCACCAGTGTGGGGAAGCAATAAAAAAGGCCAATAGGATGTTGG